CCGACTAACGCACTAGAGTTGCAGTGACCTGTGCCAGAGCTCTGGGAGCTGATGACTGGTCCTAGAGCTTTGATAATTGGTGACTATTTTTTTAACATTCATAACATAACTAATAATTCTTATAATGATATTAACGACTCTATTAACATTATTAATCTCATGTTTTCCAAATTTTTAAATTGAGATTTTTTTCAATATTTGTAATAGGATTGACAACTCTTATAATGATATTCAGAACTACACTAACAACATTAACCAGGTATTTTTCATGTTTTAAAATGGATTTTCTCAACATTTTTAATGTAATTAACAACCTTAACCAGGTGTTTTTTAAGTTTTTAAATTGAGATTTTTCAAATATTCATAATATGTTTAACAACTCTTATAACGATATTCATAATTTTTTTATTGCTTTTAAACACTTTATATGATAGATTTTAAAACTTGGAGAAATTAAGGGAATTGGAGCCATGTTAAACTCTTATATAGTTAATATGCATTTATTTTATTAAGTAAAAATATGTATTAAATTCATAACATTAATGAAAAGCCTATATTAATAGCATTAATGAAGTTATGAATATCGTTATAAGAGTTAATAATTATGTTATAAATGTTGGAAAGAATCTGAATTAAAAATCTAGAAAACAACCAATTAATGACATTAACGAAATCATGAATACCATTGTAAGATTTGTTAATCATATTATAAATATTGAAAAAATATCAAAAAATAGTTGGCAATCGTTGGAGCTCTAATAACTGTTGGCTCACTACTCACCGAAACTTCCGCAAGGGTCGCAGGTGGCTGGGTGATTGGTGAGGACTTGAGGATTTTTTTAAAAAAATTAATGGGCAAAATTATAAATTTAACAATATTTCAAAATTTCAATTTAGTTATTATTTCTGATCTGGAACTTGTAAAATTCAGGTGATCTTATAGGATTATTGAAATTCAAGTATCATTTCTTTGGAATTTTTCCCAATGTTACTATGACTTTAAGCTTAGAAGCAAATTTGCACAAAAAAACTGTCGGGTTCCTAATATTCTTGGGTAAGAACTTTTTGGTAAATATGCATAGTCATCCCTTCCAAATCTGCACGCGTGTGACTGTGTATTTCATTAAATAAATTTAACTTTCTTAAAACCACCTAATTCTATTTTTTATTAACACACCTATTCCAAATTTTAAAAGGGACTATCTGTTGGAAAAAAAAAAGTTTGAAAAAATGTGCTATCATTTTATACTAATCAATATTGGGTTTTTTCTCTTCTTTTTTCATAAATTTGTAATTTTGAGGACTTCATCATTCATTCGTTTGACTTTTAAAAGTTAAGGGAGTCATGTAAAATCCGAAAATTTAGGATAATGTTTTACAATTTAACCTATAATTTTTAGAAAAGCTAAATACTATTGTCGGAAAATTTAATAGGAATTTTTTTCTTTAAATTAGCAACTGAATCTATGCGGAGTATGGTATAAAATTTAAAATTATACTTTTTATTAGACATAAATAATGTTTTCTCAAATTTTATATAATATCCAAGCATACTAGTTAAATACTTAAAAATGCATCAGTTTTAAGGTGCGGAAAAGTAGTAATTGACAAGCATTATCCACAAAATAGAAGTTGATTGAAAGCACGCATGGGATTAATATGAGATTCAAAAGAAGCACTTGAAACTTATCATTACAAATTACTCAATTATTATGAGACTTTTTAATGAATACTACATTTTTTATTAAGATTTTGTAGTAATTTTCTTTAAAAAGCTGTTATCATAAAATGTTTTGCAATATCTAGCCAGAAAAAAAAGACCTATAAGAAGCGAGCAGTAAGAATTTATTATTTTATTATGTTGTCGACCTATTTAGTGCTTACCCTTTTGTAATAAATACTTTCGTTATTCCCTTAAATCTCATGATTACTTCCCCCCCCTTTTTTGGTAAATTTTTGTTTTTTTAAATAAGAAATCACAACGTTTTTTTTGGTTAACTCCTACTAGTAAAATATTACCTCCGATCTTATTTATAAAGCCTCGCTTATAATCTATACATAAACAACATTTTATAAATAGAATAGAAGGTAATAGTAATCTTACATGGTTCCTCTAATTTTTCCCCCCTAAAACGTCAATGTCAGCGCAAGGGAGCTGGATGATGATCACTCGAGCAATTAACGTCATCCTTTGATGTGATTTTTTAATTCTGTAGGGGGAAGATTTGATGTGATTTGAAATAGGGGGATCTTAGACGAGAAGATCGTGGGCTACATGGAGCCTAGAGGGGAATGGGATAGGTCACGGGTGGAAATTGGGATGGTGGTTTGGTGATAATACCATTGATCAGACAGCCGCCACTAAAGACAGAGGAAAGGATCGAATTCATTGGAGACTATAGACTGATAGTCATTTTACTGTCAAATCTGCCTATTAATTTTTTTTTTTTTTTTACTGAGATAGTGTGTGGAAATAAATTTAGAGATGGTAGGTACATGAAAACACCAAATCGTTCATGTAGCTTTTTGCATATGGAAAAGCACACACTGTGAATCTCAGAAACAGTAAAGGACTTCAAGCAATAGATGACCGTCTGTTTGGATGTGATCAGAAGGGGAAATCTATGCATTTGTCGGGGGACTGCATTAAGGCCAAGGAAAGATGGAAAGCAATCATCAAGCCCTCGTCTTGGAACTCTTTTTCCTTCTTTACAAGGCATAGATTGGATTAAGCGGAATCTCGCTCATGAACCGGAACTCAACTTCATGAAGAAAATTCTTTAGCCAGTCTTGTTTGGTTACATGTGTTGGGACATATGGGTTAATAGAGATAACAAGCTCTTTGGTACCAGTGATGTGGATACTAACCACGACACACATAACAGTTTTTTGGGAGCTTATCTGGATCAAGAATTGCTCCAAAACAGCAAGTTCTATAATCTCCAACCACACCATGAAGTACAACGAGCTCCTATAGATGATGACTTTGTTAAGCTGGAGGTACGTGGTTCAATTCTCCAAGATGGACGGAGTGGCTGCTGAGGGGTCATAAAGGAGGCTTCCAATAGTTGGATTAGTAGCTTCTGCTGTAAACTTACAAATGTTCCATCGACTATTGTGGAGTTGATTGATATCATTCACGGTCTAACCATTGGAACAAAGTTTTAGGAAAATTAATCTTGTTAGTAATTGGACAGAAGCTATTACTTTGCTAACTTGGGGTTGCAAAAGTGATCACTTTTTTTTGATATTGGTAATGATGCTAGGTTTTTGATTCATAGGAATTGGGCAGTTCAGGTTCATCATGTTCATGGAGAAGAAAACTGTATTGTTGATTTTCTAGCTAAATTATCTCACATTATTATTAGTAACGTTTGTATCCTTGATTAACCTTCATCTCTTTGCGTAGAGGCAAAAAGTGATGAAGGAGTTCAGATGTAATCTTTTGTTTTGAGTAATGTTATCTAGTTTTCATTAAAAAAAAAAGGAGTATATCTTTTTTTTCTCTAGCCTAAAACGCTAGAATCAATTCACAAAATAAAAAAAATAAAAATAAAACTCCTTTTTCTTTTTACATCTTATATTTTATATTTCTTTCTCCTTTGCTTTTTTTCCGAATTTGAAATTTGAAATTTGAGAAGAATAGTAATGTTTTCTTTCTCATAAGAGTGAGACTACTTATCATCTTAAAAAAACTTGTTAATAAAAAAAAATTGTCATTGAACATAAAAAATTACAAGTTTATGATTCAATGGTACAAATATTAGCAGCTTTATAGATGGAATAAACAACAAAAATTTAAAATATATTAATCAAAATACAATCATCACAACAAATAACATATATTTCTTCCAAAGCAATATAATTATTTTATATTTGATAATTAACATTTATATATCTATATTTAGACAATATATCAAGTCACCTTAATATTTATAAGTTATGAGTAACCACATTTATTTCTAAAATTCTGTTTACACATGCATCCCATACTGATAAACAATAATTTATTATTTTAAACCTATTATAATTTTAAAAAAGACTTAAACTACATTCAACATTCCAAAGCATCTTTTTAGTAGCATTCAACTAGCATCTTAAATTTAGGGTGTTTATCGTTGTAAAGAAAAATACTTCAAAGCAAGACTGCAAAAAAAATTACTTTAACATATTAGATGTTATTAAAAATATTTTAAAGTATTGGATGAATTACAAATTAATTTAGAATGTTAAGTGATCCGTATAAGTTACTTATTAAAACTTACAAAGCGTTAAATATTTTCGAATGCATCTTAATATGTGAAATAATTGTAAAATTAAAAAAATATAAACTATTTATTAATACTTATCTTTCTAAACATTTAACGTTATAGCTTAAATTATTTAACTATTTTTAAAAAAAGTACTTAATTCAAAGTTAAGTTATTAATACATTTACTTATGCAATAAGTAATATGTTTTGTCAGTTTACTTTTTTATTATGAAAAAAAAGGCGTACATGCCATCACGGGGGAGTTATGTCAGTTTATTTAAAATAATAATTTTTAATTATTAATTATGCATGATTAATTTCATTATTTTTAATTCAATAATTTCTTTTCATACTTTTTAGCATATCTTGGACCGTTGGACTGAATTACGGTGCGCACAAAAATATCTTAAAATCTAGCTCTCAGTTACTCATAACGTCCCATTCTGCTTTGAACACGTGTACTTCTCGATCAGGGAGTGCCCCTTTTTAATAGTTGTCATTATTTTTATTTTTTTTCTATTTCGTGGGGCCCAATCTTTCCCCACGCCTTCCTTCCATTCTAAAATTCTGTGAAACAACTGCAAGTATTCTTCCTGTATATATATATCCTGTAGGTAATTTCTTAAACTGCCTCTCTCTCCCTCCCTCTCTCTACCCACACCAGGTTTCCCTCCCTGCGCTTTGATTTTGTGACGGTTTAGTGTTATTCTGGAAAATTTTTGTTGAACTTGGATTTATTTTTGTGCAGGTGAGAATTTTGTAGGGGGATCTGATGTACTCGCTTGTGGATCACAACTATATTGAAGATCATGATGGCCCTTGAAACTAAAGGTGGGTGCTTGATGCTTCTAATCTCGTTTTCATCGGTCTTATTGATCTAATGCAGTTGTATTTTCGCTTCAGTTTAATTGCCGTTATTTATTTGCTGGGCTTCTGAATTTTCGGCTTATTCATTCTGTCTTCGACTCGCTTTTTCCCCTTTTGCTGTTTTAACTTCTTGGTGATTGTCTGTTGGCTGAGCGGTGGTTCAATTCCATTTGATCACGGGTTTGCCTTTAGTTTTGGTGCAATGTGAAAGAGGGTTTTATGAACGTTGGGTTTAAATGAGTGATTTTTACCGGGTTTGGCTTTAATTTCTGTATTCAGTGATGTTTCAGTCGGGGAATAATAAGGAGTAGAGGGTTTTTTGGACCCTTGCTGTGATGCTCGGACTTAAGATGGTAGGATCATCGGAGTGGATGATGTGGGAAATTTTACAAGTAAGAGCATGATAAGAATTAGGAGATGAAAACATTTTTGGAGTGAATATGTGATGCAGAACCGGGGATGGTTGTTCCCAGGGGAATTTAAAGGTGAAGGGAGAATAAATTTCCTCAGCTTCTAGTTAGTTTTGATTTAGTTGGGAAAGTCTGACAGATGGAATCTTAGGAATCAACTTTGGTTCTTGAAATTGGCCACTGCCTGCAAGTTCATTTTGAGAGGTTATGATAGAATATGGTTGTTTAGTCCGATCAGTGACCTCCGAACTAATGTGTTCTTACTGGCATATAAAAGAGGTTTATGACTACTTGTATCTTAATGTTCTTTAGAAAGACACTCTGATACGTGCACAAACAAACACACACATGTACGTACGCAATTACATATACATGTAAATAATTCGTCATGTTTATTCAAACTGGTTGACTGTGTCCAGCAATAGGAATTGTTCATAGATTATACGGGATATACCAAAGTGGGAACTGGGAACATTAGATTTGCAGATTGCAGTTGCTTGATTCTCTTTAGAGCTATATGCTCCGTACTACTGTCTCTTGTAGCCATACCATCATCTCTTTCATAAATATCATTTTTTGTTGTAACTTGACTCCATTCAATTTCTAAACTTAGTGTACCTATATCTCAATTATGGATTATTATAACTATCTTCAATCAACTTCTTGTGAATAGACCTCCACCTCTGGAAGTCATAGTTGATTTTTGGTTTTCATTACCATTTTCTTTTTTTGATAAAATATCTGCTTTACCTCGTGTGATTCTGACTTGGTTATCTTTGATTCCCTTTTTCTATTGTGTTGTAGTCTGGTACCTACTATCTAATGGATGCAATCGTGGAACTTTAGAAATTGTTAAAGATTGAAGTCATTTCAATATTTATGCATTATGCGATCACAAATTTGTTGCCGCATATTTCAGTACAAGAGAACACTAAGAAAAACTGGTTTTATATGTTGATGCAGCCTTGAAAAATACAGGTTTTCCTTAGTGCGAACTGTTTTTGTGAGTCAAATTCTGAACATGAGACATAATTTTTTGTTAAATGACTTGTTATGGCTTGTTCTCACCAAATCATTCTGTCATCTGCTTTTCTTGCTTGCAGAAAATATACAAAAGATCTGCGAGGCACCTTTAAAATGCCTCCAGAGCAAGGGATTCCCTTGCAATTTACAATATAATGGAAGTTCTAAGGATGGCTTTATGGGGCTTAAAAACGAGTCTCTTACCCATCAGGCTGCGAATGTGGCTGAACCTGACTGCCCTATTAGTAGTGAGCTTCTGGAGCCTTCCAATGAATTTCACAACAAACATAATTATCACCATGATTACAGTGCCTGGTCAAACTATCATTTTAACTCGCAAAAGGTGCAGCAGTGCCACATAAATGCTTTTGATGGCCATTTTTACCCATTCCCTGTTGAGAGCCAGTTTCAGTATGTTCCAATCAACTTGTACGCTGCAGGCCACCCCCCTGAATTTCAATATCAAGAATTTCAGTATTTTGTGGTCATAGACTTTGAGGCTACCTGTGACAAGGATAAAAATCCCCACCCTCAAGAAATTATCGAGTTTCCATCTGTTATAGTGAGTAGTGTGACTGGCCAGCTGGAAGCATGCTTTCAGACATATGTGAGGCCCACCTGCAATCAGCTTCTGAGTGATTTCTGCAAGGATCTGACTGGCATCCAGCAAATCCAGGTGTGTTACGAGAAGGAAAATGGTACATAAGATCTTAGCAGCCCATCATATGCCACTATTTCAGTTGTTTATTTTGACTCTTTGATTTTGACCCCCATTATTTAACCAAGAATAATTTCCAATACTAGAAATGCAAATTTCTATCACGAATCATCCCTATCTGATGAACTGGGAGCATCTGCCTCATACTGGAAAACAATGACAAAATCTCAAGGGAAACATTATATTGGGGAAGAAATTAACCGATTATTGGCGTTTCAGATATTTTACTTTTGACATGGCAGTGCTATAGTATTGGTAAATTCTCTCAAATAAGTTAAAACTAGGCTGTAGGTGGTCATACTGTAAAACAATGACAAAATCTTGAGAGAAACATTTAATTGGGAAGAAATTAACCGATTATTGTGGTTTTGGATATTCCTCTTTTGACATGGCAGTGTTATAGTATTGGTAAATTCTCTCAAATAAGTCAAAACTAGGCTGTAGGTGGTCTGGGATACAGATATACAATATGATGTGTTGTGCATTAAGGATTTTGTCAGAGTGGCTTCTTTTGTTATGCTGTAGTCTAGTTGGATTAATATTCTATTTTTATGTCTTTGTCATGTCTTTGGTCAATCGAAAACTGAAGTTTTACCCGGTTATTGGTTGGCAGTTGGTACTTTTTAGCTAGAAGAGTGAAGTTATGTAAAAGTGGAAAGAATTGTCTAGAAAAAGATGTATTTGACAATAGTTCGTATATGATGGCAAATCAGTTGTAAATTCACCACTTAGTGGGTGCCTTGACATGCTTTCCCTTCTCTTTTAATTTAGATGATGGAATTTCTGCAATATTACGGTATGCTTTATGCCTAGCATTTTCTAATCTTAAATTTTAATATACTTTTTTTTTTTTTTTGGGTTGGGATATTGCTGTGGTTGCCTCACTTGCGCATGCGGCATCTTTCATTTCAACTTTCTATATACGTGTAGTCAACCTTTTCTATGGGGTGGATTTGGCCAGGGGGATAGGGAAATAGTACTTCAAGATCTGTTACGTGTCCAAGGTCTCTTGTTCTTCATGGCATCTGTTAACTTTTTATTGGGTGATGGGTTGGAGAGGAGCATTAGGAGGTTGAGAGTCCAGTACCTTATTGGACATTAACTTACTACCTGACTTGCCATTGCGCATGGTTTTATCTATTGTTTTTAATGGATCATCTTTTTGTGGAACTGAGGACCTCTAACTTTCTTACATAGATGCTCAGGTTTTTACTAGAAGTCCTTTGGGAAATTTAGCATGCATTTTAAAGCTGTCTGATATGCAGTGAATAAAGTTGTTTTACTTGGATAAAGAATGATTGGATAATGATAAAGAGAAGAGAGAGATTTAGGAAAAGTAGACAGTGTAGGCTGGTTTACCAGGCGGTCATATTTTTAGTCATACGTAAAAGACAAGTAATCAAAGACTAAGAAATACAAATCTTATGTACCTACTCCGAGTCTAATCAGCCCTAGTCATATAAATAATAAATCAAAACTTATTTTCAACAACCCCTCAAGCCGGTGCATAAAGATCATATGAAACTAGCTTTTCACAAGTGTAGATTCTTTGAGGACCTTGGAAGAGCTTTAGTGAGTACGTCTGCTTGTTGATCATTTGAGCCGGCAAACTTGGTAGCAAGACAATCAGGCTTTGATACCATGATAAATCGAAAGGAAACAGAGAGATTTGGGAAAAGTAGTCAATGTGAGCTGATATACCATGCTGTATTTTTATAGTCATATGTACAAGACAGGGAATTAATGGCTAATAAATACAAATATTATCTCTACCAACTCAAGAGTCTAGTTAGCCCTAATCATGTACAATAAATAATAAATCAGAGCTTATTCTCAAGAGATAGCATAATGCGTTGCACCTTTGTTGCATGTATCTACGTTATGAGTAGTTTTATTAGACAGAGTAGAAAATACTTGTTAGAGGATATCATCAAAAGAGAAAAAGATAAAATGAAAACAGAAATAGTAACAAAATTGTAGAAGACTTGGAGCCCTTTTGATTTTAACGATGGAGACTAACTCAAAACTTGGAAAAAATAAAAAGCAAAACAATGATATCCAAAATGCAGAGCTCCTAAGTAAAGCTGTATACGTGATTCTTTCTCATTACATGTGTAGAGGAACATAAATGACCTAGAAGATGTAGGCATTCTTTTCCAACCTTACAAATCAGGGAATGCCCAAGTCACTCATTGCCATGAAGTTTTCTTGTTACCGAACCTGTTGGACTGTAGGAGGAGAAACTATTTCAAAATACTGAGGCATGCTCAATTCTCACATAGAATTCTGAAAAGATTGTTCTAAAGATAACTCATTGACTTTAAGCTGGATAGATGAGAAATAAGTGTGCCAATGTTTTTAAACTAGATCGGTGGTCACAGTACATATATCATGAGAATTATTTACATGTGGCCATTGAACTGACAATATCTCATTTTTGTGTGCCCTCTATGTATTGCTTTCCTAACAAAACTTCCATATGCATTCTTTTATGGAACAGAATGATTCATCCATGAAGAAATTTAATGGAAGATGGATTTTTGTTTTTTGGCTTTCTCATGGTTTAATTTTGTGCTGACGACTTGATGTAATTTATCTTGGATTCTTGGGCTAAAGATTGAATACCTTGAAGAGATGATTGGGAAAAATAATTTCTGTTGGGTGTTTCTTAGTTTTCCTGTTGTTAAATACGAATTTGCTCTGTTCTCAACAATCTATACTGTGAATTAATGGTTTAATGAAAGCTAAAATGACCTGCCCAACACGAGATTAAACAATGAGGATTGATGCTATAGCTGAATATGAATAATTTTGTCTTGGGAAGACTGGTTTTTTGGGTAAATCCCATCTGCAACGACCATAAGTTGACCCTTGTTGAATCTCATCTATCTTTTTCTCACGTTTTGGTTGTTTATTCTGGTCTGTGGAGTGTAGACTGTTAATACTCTTACTATGTGGTTCAGGTGGACAGAGGTGTTACATTGAGTGAGGCCCTCCTTAGGCACGATAAATGGCTTGAGAAGAAAGGAATAAAGAACACTAACTTTGCTGTGGTTACATGGTCTAACTGGGACTGTCGGGTGATGCTAGAATCTGAATGCCGCTTCAAGAAAATACGGAAGCCTCCTTATTTTAATCGGTATAGTCTGCAGTATAAAATTCTTTGACGTCTTTCATATTTTTCTACGTTTCATTTTCAACTTACTTTGTCATTTTTATCGCTTAACCAGATGGATCAACTTGAGGATTCCCTTCCGTGAGGTATTTGGTCCTGCAAGGTGCAACCTAAAGGAGGCTGTTGAGATGGCAGGTTTGGCCTGGCAGGGCCGTGCTCACTGTGGTTTGGATGATGCCAAGAATACTGCTCGCCTGTTGGCACTCCTCATGCGCCGGGGTTTCAAATTTTCCATCACAAATTCTATAATGTGGGAGGCTGCTGATCAATCATATATCTTGAAGCTGTCACCAGAGCAACTCAACTTTTCTCCTCAGTACCCCCAGAAAACAAAGGATACGCATATGAACACTCCAATGTTCCAGTATCATCCTCACTGTTATTGTGGAGTGAAAAGCAGTAAGGGAATGGTTAGAAAACCAGGACCCAAGCAAGGGAGCCATTTCTTTGGCTGTGGAAATTGGACTGCTACTCGAGGTGCTCGATGCCAGTACTTCGAATGGGCTTCTGCTGCCTAACTGAATCTGATCCATTATAGTCAAATCCTAAGTTTGCTTATATGTTTTATGTGAAAAAAGACAAAAGACAAAAAAACCAAGAAAAGAAAGAAAGGAAAAAAAAGGGAAAGTGGATGATGAAAGTAGGAGAATCTAATGGAAGCATGTATGCCTGGTTGCTTGGTGAGGTTTCTGCTTCATGAGTAATAGACAGAACAGTAGTTGGCTCGTAATATTATGCTTAATAGTGTATGCTCAAACATTGAAGTAGTGTTGTGAAGAGGGAGGGGAGAGAGAGAGGCTCAACCTGTAAAGCTGACTTGTTGACTGGAGAACATATCGGGAATGGGTAGTTAGGGTGATGCTTTCGAATGAATGCTCAGGCATGTTAAGTTATCTTGAATAATTTGTGAGGTAGGACTATTTGTTTCCTTGCTTGCTCTAAAGGCTATATCTATATTCTGCCTGTAGCTCGTTTCCTGCATTCAAGTGTTCATGCTAACTTTTGTTGTTCATTGCTGCACCGTTAAACGATTTACATCTCATTTATCTAGGGAAAATGCCAATTATAGACGTTTTCTAATATATTAATAGACTTCAAATTTGAAGTCATGTTATAATCTGAGACGTAAAAAGAGTGTTGTGTTTTCTTTTTTTATTGTTATTTAATGTAGGGTAATCATGACAAATATTATGAGCTATACATGAGCAGCGAAAATTCCTTTGGGGTAGAGCAGGGATCCATTTATTGGAGCGAGTATTTCTTAATTATTGTGAAGTGATTAAAAAGATCCCCCATGTAGAATTGGAGGGAGTATTTAAGAACTAGTGACACCTGCGTCTGAGATTCAGAAAACTGATATTTGGTCATATAGTTCTTGGTTTTGACTTTGGGCGAGCCAAATAAAAAATAATAAATCCTCGCAAAGTAAATCGAAGGCGTATGGTCATGCATCTCCTGGAAAAGCAAACCGTTTTAATTAGAATTAGCAAATATCATAATTTCGGTAAAAAAAGGGGCACGATTGTTTCTGGTGATTCTGGTTGTTAGTGTCTAAGATGTAAATGGCTATCACAGGATCCAGGTAAGAGGAGGATTAGCTTCCAAAATTTTGAACCCAAAAAAGGCGGACAAATAAAGAAAAACCAAATTGCACAAGAGGAAGAAACTTTTATTTGATAAAATTAACAAAAAGGCCTACATTTTCCACTCCAATACCTAACATACAAAGCACAAGGTGGGAAGTGGCGGCATTCTACAATCTCACCGCTCATTCTATACCCACCCGTGTCATGAACTCACTGCTATGAACAACAGTGTATGAAGAATAAGGACTAATAAGAATATACACATGGAATAACTACTCTACGTTAACATTCAACTGTCCGGCTGCTCAGACTTCACTGGTGCCCCAGATGAGGATGCACAGCTTCCATTCTGCAGATAGAGACTGTTTGCAACCATGGAGTCACTGACCAAGCCAACATCAACATCATCAAAGTTGAGAGGTCCCCTAACCTTCCGGGTGCTGAACATAGAGAATGAGAGCAGATAGTAACATCAGCTTTGCTATCTTGAGAAAAACAAATCAAGAACGAGCATATACAAAACATGCCAGTACAGCGAATATAAATCCTACAAAACAGTAAATCTGACATGTCCATTCATGATTTAGAAACTTATTTTTGCTAAACATAGAATGCAAGCAGATGATATGTGAGCAGGATGTTTTAGTAGATTTGTTTAAAAAGTCTAGTAGTTGAATCAAGTTTATATATGTGGCCATAAGTATGCTAGAGATAAGCTATATTGAAATTTTGGGCATAACATGCATCCACATACACACATTTTTATGACCCATGACCAACTGCATTATTTTCTGCTTGAGCAGGTCTCCCTTGGAATATTTCTTAGAAGACATTTCAACCTTGAAAATTTTAAGATTGGAAAAAGCATACCCATTCAAACGGTTATTGATGGCCGTCAGGTCTTTTGAAGGGCTCTGATATGCATGAGTGCTCTCCCCAACGCAGGCATAGTAGCTTTTTGAGCTATGTGATATTAGGGCATCCATCTGAGAAGATAAAAAAGGACAAAGCTCACATTCAGTGAAAATAGAATGTGTTTCAGTCCAAGGTGTGAATTCATGCATTGAGATCACGTTATGGGGTAACATTTGCTGTCTATTACTATACAAGAGGAGGGAAAAAGACAAGTGCAATAGCTTAGACCAAGCGAAGGGGTGAAACAGCCCTTAGAAGTCAAACAAAGCAAGTCCTGTTGTCATTTGATTGCAGCGAACTAACATGAGTAAATGGAGACAAAAATTTTACAGAAACAAAAAGAGAAACAACTACCTTGGCTGATCGCAATGGTGAGACATATACGTTGTGTGTTGCAGATACTTTCTTCGGGGACATATCAGGAAGGCTAGGAAAAGGTGAAATTTTAGGAGATCCAGGACACTGAGCTAAATGGTCTGAAGAAGAGGTATACTGGTCAGTGGTTTGCCTGAAACACGGCAGATAAAGCCAGGCATAAAACTCAAAAGAACTGTTAAGCCAAAATTATACCATCATTGTTATTGTTGGCTTCAGGTATCCGGTTGGCTTTTGTAGTTGTTCCCCCAGGACCAAGCTCAACCAGCAGAGCTTTTACAGAGGGAATGAATATTTCATTGTAAAATGTAATGATATCAACATGCTCCTGTCCGGTTCTCTGTTCCAAAATCATATATAAGGTCAGACTTTTCATAAAGCAAAGGGGGAGTCCAATCAGATTACATACCCCATTGCGGCGTGTTGATGACCAGTCAATAAATACACCGCGAAAAACTTGTGGTTTGCATTGTGGTTGCTTCCTATAATTGTAAATGATCTCCCTAAAAGTTAAGTTCAGTTGAGAAATCTGCAAAAGCAATTGAATAAGGACAAAGTAATAAATAACTGAAGAACAGGCTATAAAACCCAACATTTTTTCGAAATCACCTTTGCAATTCCATAGAAACAACATAGAATGATTTGATCAATATGGCGGTTGAAGAAAAGTGACGTCCTTTGATTAAGTATTTGTTGGAAAAGACGGTACACATTCTCTCTTATCTGTTGAGACAATTGGAGCCTTTCAACCATGCCACTTATTCTGACTGCTGCCAACTTAACAATCTGGGAGACACAAGTTCACACAAGATGTCAGCTTAATAAAGAAATACAAGGACAAAATGAAGCTGAAAAATAAATAATACAAATCTTGACCAAACACAAGAAATTCAGACAACAGCTTCACCATATTATTATGAGGCAATACCTTTCCAAAAAAGATATTGATCCCTGTTTCTGCACAAGTCTCCCCCCCACCCCCTGGATTTGGTCTTGTTGGACTGCAAAGAAGAAGAAAAAGGTTATTCAATGCAGGGTACCAAATAAATATGATTGGCGCTCTAAGCCCAGAAATTCTATACCTTGCAAAAGCTGACTGCAAAGGAGGAGGTAGCTTTGACTTAAGGTTACTGAAGGGAAGAAGTCGATCCTTCACTGGTGAGGTAAAGGAATTTCGTTCTGCTAGTACACTCCGATATTCTGTGCAGAGTCGTTTAGGAGACCTAATATCCCCATTTTGACCTGAAATGCATTAACAGAAATGTCAGCTAAGCTGAAAAACATGTCTACACAATGTAAGTTTTCCTTTGGGAGGAGTAAGGCGGCTTTAAAAATTTTGGTTCATTATGAACAACAAAATTTACAGACTACGATATGATAGACAATGACTTATACTGGAAGTAAGCAAACACTGCTAAAAAGCTCGAACAGAAAGAATTATTACTTGGCAAAGTCTCAGGCTTCTGCAAGGAAGGCCCAGGAGGTAGCCCCCCACAAGAGAAATTAATATGTGTTGCAATTGCATCTAATGATGGCATTGGTTCAGCTAACAATCCGAGACGAGTTATTTCAGAAGAGAGGGAAGGTCTGGCAACTGTCAAAGAATTATACATCGAGGAACCCTTTTCCCATACCATACTCTCTAAAAGCCGTTCTTCCAATGAATTCAGATGTCGCCTCAATTCTCTTGGGAGAGAATCTTCATGTCTTATGAAGCTTTCTATCACCTTGCTAAGGTCAAAAGCTGTAATTCCAGTCCTTTCTAGCACTGCAGGAAACAACATTGTTACGGTCTTATGTGTTGCCAGCACTAATTCTGCAGAACATGCAAGCATGCATCTATGGAACCTCTCATTAGTTAATAATGACGTTAAATTGGTTGCATGCAGTATTTGGGACTCTGCTCTGCACATTGCCTCCAGGACCCTATAATATAACTTCAGGGCTTCCAGTCTCCGTTGTTCTGCCCAAACATTGTCCATGAGGTTTGCACTTTGAAGGCTTCCAGTTAAACATCGCTCTCCCAAAGGACTACTAGGAAATATAGCCTGCAATATAATCTGTGCCCTGCGCACTACGTCACTTGAGACATCCCTATCACATGATGCCAGAAATTTCTCCAGCTCAGGAGAAGGCTTTGATGGAAGTGGACATATGACAGTACGAAGCCACTTAGCAGTAGTCATAGCAGTGGTTACAGGAGTGGCAGCCATCTTTGAAGTTGTGCTAATTGGAATGCCATTTGCATGATGAGATGCAGGAGAGCATTGGGGAGAGAGTGGGCTTGTAATCGTCTTTGTAGGTGACGCCAATGAATCAAATTTCCTCTATAGAGAAGGATAAAAGATGTTTATCAGTATTCTCTTACACAAGATGGTAGACTTGAGAAGAAACTTCAAATTCAATCATACCTTGACACCACTTGCTGACATTGAACCTCCAGACAAGCTTCCTGAAGCTAATAAGCTGTCCTCCTCATTGATAAATAACCTCTCATCCAGCTCACCTTTGTTACGAATGGCATCATCATAATCCTTTTCTAAGATATTTAAACAAGATGGTAGAGATGATTCTTCCATAAGATCATTAAAGTAGAACAAACCATCTGCAAATGAAAGGATCATCAATAAAGGATAACAACATTGATAGGTATGAATAACAGACACAGCAGTTTAAAAAGAACCTTTGTCAATACTCTCAAGTGTTGCAGTTTCGCATTCAGATGCTAGACAAGGCTTCTTCTTCAATATATCTGCAATTAAATTATTGGCTTTCTCCATAGTTTTTCTCACATCATCTTCTGAAGTGTCATACATGTTGCAAAGTGATGCTATGATGTCCACACCTTTGCTACTCTTCTTAACTAAAATTCACATTACATTGAATTAGGGCAGATACAAGTACCAAAATTTAAGTTCAAGTCCGAAATAACCCAAAAAGGAATATCCATTTGTGTCTGCACAAGCATTAGCTTGCATTGATGTGAAGAAGCAAGATTACTTGAGAACAGATTATTCAAAACAAAAGTGGTATAGAAGAAAGAGTATTACCAAAGCGTGACGCATCATGAATGTCAAAATTTCTGAAGCGAGCAGGAATATGAATAATCAAGATAGCCTGCCAAAGATAAACCAAGCAAATAAGAAACTACACCCTTCCTTTTGACATGATGATTACTAAGCAAACATTAAAAACTATATCATATGAATGTTATCCAAATAATTGAATTTGTATTATAGACTTGGCCAAAAAAAATAGAACTCGTATTATATGGCTGTTATGATGAATATTCTGAAGTGTAAAAAAGAATTACAGGAAAAGGATTTGCAATATATTCAGGGAGACCCAAATTATAGAAAAAGAATAGTGCACGAATGTGACTAACCAGTATAGAAACTAAACCATTGGTGCAAGTCACCAAGTCTTTAAATCGGCTGAAAGCATGGACTCGAAGAGCCAAAAAAACCAACCATCCAAATCGATGATATTGAGATGCATAATCACCAGCCCTGGAAGCAGCTGAATTTTTTTCAGTAGCATCATTTACCAAGAAGAACTCCCCGAATGCACGTTTGTAATACCTAGCAACATCAAATTTAAAAGATGCAATGTCAAATTGCATGCTGTACGGGATGCTCAGAGAATAATGTTATTGCTCACAATTATACAGCAAAGAAACATCTTAAAGTTATAAGATGACCAAATAAATGAAACCATTGCGCATGTGCTTTCCTTGAATGCTGAACAGTAGTATAAATTATAAGTACACAAAGAGAAACATTTAATTTGCCAAACTAAATGTTTAATTTTCAATAAACCAACTAAAACACACAGCCTTTTCTTCAGAAGTAATTACATTTGACACACAAGTGCAAGACAATAAGCCTTCTTTCTCTCCCTCTTTCTTCCCACCACTCCTCTGTCAACTTCTCTCCCCTCCTCTCCCTTCCCCTAGAAAAGCTTTCCCACTACCAAACATGGCCTTGAAATTAAAAAAATCAAGAAGACTTCTTCCGGAATTCTAGATTATATAGGCAGATTCAATAACGTTAGTAATTAAAAATTGTCAGGATTGTAGAAGTTATAAAAAAATAATAGGGACCTCACTTCAATAGATAGGATGAAGTAAAATAGTGAACAAGAGAAATTATTATTACATGTCAAGTCAACTTGGCAGCACGCATTTAAGACAACAGCTGAAAGAGAAACCACTCACTTGCTAAGAATGCTTAAGTGAAGAAAGTTTGCATGCAACTCCTTTGCCTTGTAGAGAAATATGAAAGGAAAAGCCCAAAGGAGAAATGTTACTAAGTAATAAATAAAAAGGGACACATGAACAAAATTGAACCAAAAAAAAAAAGCAAAATAGAAAGCATGAATATCTGCTTAGTCAATACCTCAAGCCTGTTTTCCCAATCTGTGCCATATAAGTTACTTAAAATCGGACCACCCTTAACAAGAAACTGAGGAAGTTCTTTGAAAAAGTCCACAATGCTGTAGAATACAAGATACATGACAACATAGCATAAAAGAACCAATTACAAACACATGAACTAGGGAGGACCAGTAGTATACTTTAACTTTGCCCTTCTCAATATCTGGCACAAGGTAAGTCCATTGCTATCAGTCACTTCCTTCTCACTTTCCGTATGCTTATCAGCCAATCTCTTGACACAGTACAAGACAAAGGAAAACCAATACCGTTCTGCTTCTTCATACTGAAACAGAAATATGAAATATAAAAAAATAAACAGAAAGACTTCATGACAAGTTCAATTTTATTAAAGAAGAATTATTTTGTACCGTTCCATTCCCGAGAGATGATACATTGGTCTGTAGAAGGTGTTTGGTTTCGCTGAACAGCTTCGTTGCTTGTCTGCAACTTTCATCATCCAATGACAACCCGTTCTGCCGTCAAAAACCACACCATCAATGTGTCTTCTCAAAAAGGGGCGAAAGCCACATAAATGTGCAAGGAAATGGCTACAAAATCTCAATTAAATTGGGCCCCACATGACTCCTGTATGTGTTTGATGACCCCTGTGTGTGGGCGTGCGTGTGCGTGCGTGATGTGGCGTGTAATGTGGCAAGAGTGATATGTGTGGGTAGCATATGCTATTTATAGCTAATTCTAACATTAATCACAAAAGAATTTCAAAAGCCATTGTATGTGTAACATTCTCTTTTTTCCGTTTCAGCATTGCCTGGAGGGCTCAGTTAACATCTTCATCTATTGCACCACTCCCCCAGGTTAAAAACAAAAAAAGAAAAACTCTACTACAGCTACTGTTTTCTCCTTCCCTTCCCCTTGCTGCGCTCTTTTTCTCCCTCGGTTATGACAAAACATAGGAAATAATTAAAAATACAAAAGGACACCCGTATTCTTGATAACATAGTGGAAAACAAAAATTACAAGCCAGAAAAACCAAGAAACTGATTACAAAATATTTCAAAAGGAAAAAATAAACAAACACAGCTATGACGCAGATACGAGCTGCCTTCAGAGTCAGATGACAGGAACCTTGCAGAATTCAGTGAATCGAGAGTCAGCAGGGTCACCATGTTCGCCCTGTGAGCTGTTGGCTGAGGCGGCTAATGGCTTAACATCTTCCATCTTCTCCTCAGCAGGTGGACTCATGGAAACCCTAGTTAAGCCACTGTCGACGCAGATCACACCTGTACGGCACAGAATTCAAGTCCCGAAATCAAAACCTTTCCGAGTCCCAGGAATTGGATTTTCTTCACCAATTATAAGGGAAAAAAATTCTCAGTACCGTTATACCCGCAAGTGCAAACCCAAATTCAAGCGACATTGACCCAGAAACCCAAAATGCAAAATATTGTGAACATAGTTCAAATAAATAGAAGGCCAGTAAATTCACCGCCCAGTGTACACACTCGAGGCAAAGTTTTCATTTTTTTTTTTTTCAAAAGTGAATTAAGCCGTAGGTTTGCAACTTTACAAATATGAAAAATTGTCTGAATCAACCCCATTTCAAAAATATAATTTGCCGGAACAAGATTTCACAAAGACTGGAAAGAAGAAAGAAAACTTAAACATAAAAAAAGAAGACTTGTAGCAGTTTACCAACAACAATTACACTCCGATCCCTTAACTCTCACCTCCAAGCAGATCCAGTACAGAAACCAAGAAAACAACGACGTAATCTTGGATCGAATCGGCCAAACAAGGGTTTTTGAAGCAGCTCTGAGCCCTATCTTTGCTTCACTTTTTCCTCTCACCTTCTGTTTCTCTCTCTAAATTTGGCCCTCTTTGTGAAACCCTCCGTGTTGTCGCGCGGGAAAAATAACATGGATCATGATGGTATGAGTACCATGCCCGGCATACATGCATGCATCAAGAGCCAATGGTAATCCGACACGTCATGCAAGCAGGTGTTTTTACCGCCAAAATTCCCGCCGTTACGAGATTCCCTTGAATGGGAGGTCGCCGTTACGGCGTTATGACGGAGATCCTAAAATCCATGGTTACGGCTCTTATCTCGGTAACGGCAAAGTGGGGCCCACGTGACTCCTGCGAGATCGGCTGGGCCCCACATCTGGCCTTTCCTATTTGAGCAATTCATTCTCATGCTGGCGGTAAAATTACTGTACGGGCAGTCTCATCGCTGTAAATCAGTTCGTAGGGATAATAATTAATACTACTCCTCCGGTCCTAATTATAAGACCCAATTGACTTATTTGAGGAGATTAAGGAAGTAAGTTAAGTTGGTTATTTATAATAAATAAGTGTTGTGATTCCTAAAATATCCTTGCTAATTAAGTATATTGGCTAAAACTATCATTATTAGAAGGATTATCTTGGAAAAAAATACATAAATATAAGAGAGAAAATGGATTGGGTCTTATAATTAGGACCAAATAAAAAGTCAAATTGGGTCTTATAATAAGGACCGGAGGAGTACCTCTTATTTTTAATATAAGGCTTTGTTTCACTTTTATTTTAGTCCTAAATATAAAACCCCAACCCACTTTGTCTCTTATATTTATATATATTTTTTTAAAATAACCCTTCTAACAATGATAGTTTTAGTCAATACATGTGATTGGCAATGATATTTTAGGAAAGACAACACTTATTTAGGACAAATAACTAACTCAACTTATTTCCTTAAACTCCTCAAATTAGTCAACTGACTTTTATAATTAGAACCAGAAACAGTAATTAATTAATCGAATCGCTAAAAAGTCCAAATATATTTAAGAGGCTGTTAGTTTCTAGTTTAATTATTTTTTTAATTTACTTAGTATTAACAGAAGCAAAGATAATTTTTATTTGAGTCTTACATAAGAGAAAAAAGTTCTATTCCATTTAAAGGAATTATTACTTAATTACATTAATAATAGAAAAATTCTTCCAAAAAGTTCTATTCCAATGAGTTTCCAATTGGAAAGAATATTTTGGATTGAAATTTGACATGCACATTAATTAGTTGTTAACACACAGATTTCAAGAAAACACTTTCAATACACTTGATATAGTTTAAAGTAAATTACTTATTTTTATGGAAAGCTTTATTCAGTTTCCAAAAGTTGTTTCTCCCACTTCTTGTGAGATGAAAATAAAAATAGATTTTATGCTAGCTAGTTGAAGTCTGTTTACGTTAAAAGCGGGGAAAAAAATTATATGGCAAACTTTCATTCCCCCCCCCCCCCACTTTATGTGGAAAATGTGGGAGATGGGTATCAAAAATGAATTTTATATCATATATTAAAACTTTAATTAAGGGAAAAACTTCAATGGATAGATTGCCTTGTTTAAAGAGTCAAGATTTTGTCATAAGTTTGAAGTTTGAAGATTAAGGGGGTGTTTGGTAATCTCAAAAGTACTTTTCAGAAACACTTTTCCATAAAACAAGGCAAACTCCTCCACATATTTATATCGTAAACCATAAAAGCATTTTTGAAACCATGGTTTGGTTTCCATCCAAACATCCCTTAAAATCGTCTAAATAAAGATAGAATTCAGCAATTAGGAGAGATGCATAGAGAGAATAGTGAGTCATGATCAATCTAAGGGGCACATCTTCTCTTTTCTACCTTCACTCTTCATTGCCTGCCGCTACTCCCGCTCGCTTTCTCTGGTCTCTTTTTTTCCCAAGTACTCCCCTACTCCTAATCCTATTCATAGGATAGACAAAGAAGATATTTTTTTATCCTATTTACAAGGTATTGAGAGAATTTTTTTTGTATGGATATATAATTTTGCCCTCTATTTATTGTTGTGTTGATTTTGTTTATATGAAGTATGATATATATTGAATAGGAATAAAGTTGAAAACTTATTGAATTTTCAATGAGAATTAATGAAGTTTAAAGTTTTCTTTGATATATGTAAAACATGTTGGAAATGACTTATAAATAGAACTAGAAGAGTATATGTATTTTTTTTATTAGGGGTAATTCTGTTCGAGAAATTCTTGGGATTAAATTTGGACATATCTTCCAATAAAGATTCAAAACTTGGTTCATTGTGTTATAAGAGACTAGCTTCTTCTACTAAATTCAATTCTATTGGTTTTTCTTTGTTTTTTACTCTGGTATAAAATGGGACAATTTACCCTCTCTATCTTTTCTTACAACAATCAATCTTGGGCTAGTAAAACCCATCACATCTGTACACAGTAAATTATGAAATTGCAACAGGCTCCCATGACAATCGCAAGACCGTGTCTCTAGTTAAACTCCAGTACTTCCCTATACATATGCTTGACTCATAACAGTTACAATAATCTTTGCATCTGACCAATAAACTATTGTTATGAATAAAATTATTCAATATAGACACAAGAAGAAGTGAATTGGATTCAACAATAATCTCCCTGAAATCCTTTTTTGGGAAGTAAGTGGAAACCTGATAACAAACCCCATAACTCTGCTGCCATGGCTGTACAAGTTCCCAAATTATTCACAAAGCCCCCTAGCCACTCAGCCCTTCTCATCTCTTAATAGCCCACCACATCCTGCCATTCACATTACCTATGAGTGACAAATTTTGAGCATAGGAATCAATAGTTATAATTGAAGAAAACTGATAAGAATTAGAAAATTATTTTAAAAAAAAGATAATAAAATCAATTATGCTGTTCTTTTGTTTTGTTTTATTTTATTTTCCTAAAGTATAGATAGAACTTTGAAATAGGAAGAGGGAAGGGCAGCGGAAAGAAAGACAAAGGAGAGAAGCCACACTCCAATCAATCTAAATACATGTTTTGGTTTTCTGTTACAAACTATCAAAATGATGGTTTTCATAGTTTCCAACGTGAAACCACACTTATACGTAAAAATTTAACCAATCTTATTCTTTTTAATAGTATAATATAATTATGCACTAAAAAGAGAATAGAGAGAGTGGTTAGACCCTCCATTTTTAATGTCTCTTACCAATAAATTCAAGCTTTGGTCAATATCTCAATATATACTACTGGATCTTTTGCACCAATGAGATTGTGCTCTAAAGAGAGGGGATAGAGAGAGACTAGGAGACCAATGATTAAGTGTAGCATCATGTGAGTAGAAACTTTAAGGTTTAGTCAGCCTAGGCAACATTTTAGCAGACATTTAACAACTAGATCTTCTGCAACAACGGGATTGTGTAGAAAAGAGGGGAAAAAGAGAAAGTAGTAGGGCACTTGGTTAACCTAAGCAGCATGTCAGCAGAAATTGGGGAATCCAATCTTTTGCAATAACAGGACCATGTGATTAGGAGAGGCATACAGAAATTAAATGTGGTTACCAGCTCTGTGTCATGATCATTATTTAACTTGAGTAGCATATTAGCATACATAAAAAGGAATCACACCCTTAAGGAATTGGGATATCAAGACCAAAAACAAATTATCTATGACTATCTCCGATCTTTAATATACGACCTAGTTGATTAATTTGACGCGATTAAAGAAATCAGTTAAGTTAGTTATTTGTTATAAATAGATATTGTCTTTCCTAGAATATTCTTGCTAATAATATATATTAGCTAAAATTACTATTTGATGAAACCTTTAACATGTACAACTATTGTAAAGATTACTTTGAAATAAATAAATAAATATGAAAGACAAAATGGATTGGAGTCTTATATTTAGAACTAAATTAAAAATCAAACAAGCTCTTATAATAAGAATCGGAGGTAGTACAATTAAGGAATTCAACTTCATATCTCCTATTTATAAACTCAACACTTGGCCAATTTAAGTACCATGTCGTCATATATTTAAGGAATTAGACACTTTAAAACCACGGGGCTATGTAAGAAAGAAAGAGGTGGAGAGAGTAGTAATATATTCGGTTAATCTAATATGTATTTGGTTTTAAGTTGAAAACCACTAAAACTGCATCTTTGCAATAGTATGATTATGCAGTAAAGAGGGGTAAAAGAATGGTGTCTCTTTCTCTTGTTGATTGGTCAATTTGTGTCGTATGTTAACATTACATTTAAGGATTTAGATATTTTTGTTGGGACAAACTTATTTTCTGAAAATTTTTGATAAAAATTAAGATATCAAGATTGAAAACAAATTTTCTATCACATAAGCCTATTCCGGAGAAGGAAAAGATCAAATGACATTATTTCGTTTGAAAAATTAGATTGGATTAACCTAAGTATGATGTAAAAAAAATTACGCATTAATCTCAAATAAGAGATTTTTTTTTCCTTGCTAGATCAAATAGGAGATTTATTTATACATAAGTACCATGTATTTGTGAAAATAAACTAAGTTCAAAGGTTTTTAAATGTAATTTTTCTACTTGCTAAAGGATTAAATTGTCTCTTGACAAGTCTTTCGTCAACCGCTAGCAATTGATAAGGTGTCCAATGCGAAGTCGATATTACACTTTTTTAAAAAAAGTTTTTCTTAAAATTTTAATGCTTTTATATTTATAAATCAACTTCTTCTATTTATAATTGAATTTTCACAATTTTTGCATCACTTATTCATATTTTAAAAAATTAATTTACAAATCAACTCTTTAGATTTACAAGTCCTATTCTACACTTTCAACATTTATAACTTAACAAGAAAAAAAGCAGTGTAAAAAAAACCGGACCGGACCGGTCGGTTCAATCGGTAAACCGGTGAACCGGTCAGTGGTCCGGTCTGGTTTATAGGCTAAATCGGGGACCGGTTCAAACTGGATTAAACCGGTCAAACCAGTGTGAATCGGTATGAACTGGTAATAAACCAGTTTAAATAAATAGATTGATATTTATCCTATTTTTTCTCATTTAGCTCCTAATAGCTCAATTATTATAGAT